ACGTACAACATCGACGAAATTGATCTTTCGTTGTCAGAATCGAGATTGTAAAGGTAAGTTAACATTTACTATCGGTCAATTAAAACAAAAATTATTGATCTATTGAGCTCGATGTCATACCAATTTATCTATGGACGTATTTCTCTCACAACCAACAGCCCACTGTCATGCTCCTCAACCTGATCGTGTGCCTGCTGTTCAATTAAAAAATGAAATTAAAGCTCGTGCCGTAACAACAGATGAATCAACCAGCTCCATTATTCATTCTGCTTTGCGTACGTATCCGTTGAGTGCTGCTGGTGAACTTCCAAAAAATGAAGCACTTATGCTAATGATTCGACGACAGCGTACTGTTGAAACAGTCGATGCCGATGGTTGTTTACCAGAAAAATTAAGAAAGACATATCGCGATGAAGACTTCATCTTGCACGAAGACAAAAATTTAATTATCTTTACAACAAAAACAAATTTATCGATTCTGAAGCAAAATAAACATTGGTTCGCTGATGGAACATTCAAAGTAAGCTATCAATTAAAAGTTTATATCTTTTTTTTTCTAATTTTCTTTGACGTAGGTGTGTCCTGATGATTATTATCAATTATTCACGTTACACGCGATGATGACTAATGCAATTATCCCTCTCGTCTATGGATTATTAATTGGTAAAAGTGCTCAAGATTACAATTCATTCTTCGAAAAAGTATTAGTACAAGATAATTTTCAACCTGAATCAATTATGACTGATTTTGAAACTGGTACAATCAAATCCGTTAGAGAAATGTTGCCAAACGTTTTACATAAAGGTATTTTGTAATATTCTCAAAAAAAAAAGTAATTAAAATGTTTGTTCTAGGATGTTTATTTCATTTTTCGCAAGCGATATGGCGACAAGTTCAACAAAAAGGATTGGTAACAAAATATAGAGACGATGAGTACTTTCGTTTGAATGTAAAAAAATTAATTGCTCTTGCTTTCGTTCCAGTAGATGAAATTACAACTGGCTTTGACTTAATTACCAATCAATTCGATGATGACGCCGATGATTTACTTGATTATTTTGAAAAAACATGGATTGGTGAACCAAAAAGAAGAGGTAATTTTTTTTCTTCATTCTTAAGAAATATGAAATATAATCGACTTTCTTAGGAACTGGTCGAAAGAAGCCTCAATTTGATCACAAGTTATGGAATGTTCATGATCGTGTCCTCGCTGCTGTACCTCGTTCGAACAATTCGGTGGAAGGCTGGCACAATGCATTTGCGAACCGCGTCGCAATGAATCATCCAAATATCGTGAAATTGGCAGAGAAAATTCGTTGTGAACAATCGAAATTCGAAGTGGACATGGCGAAGATTCTCCAAGGTCATGATATTAAGATGAAGAAGGCCTGCTATCGACGATTGGACGAACGAATTACTCGGCTGGTCAATGCATTCGACTCATCTCAACTGGATCAATTCTTAACAAATATGGCAGCCAACATTAATCTTTAGGTAATTTTTTTCTTAAAATTATTTTGTTTTCTTTAGGTTACTTTTTTTTTCTTTTGTTTTTTTCTTTCTTTTTTTTTGCTTTTTTTGTTCTCAATTTGTTCATCATTATGTTATGTATAATACACAAAATAAAGGTGAATTAAATGATCAATTTCACATTTTTGAAAAGAAAATTAATTAAGAGTGATGCGACGAATAGATAGTGACGAGCACAACGAAAGAAATTTCTCTGCGACTGACAGAACGAAAGAATTTTTTTTTCTGCGACGAACAGAACGAAAGAAATTTTTTTTCTGCGACGAACAGAACGCGACAAAATGTTATGCGACGAAGTGACCGTGCGACGAAATGATTGCGACGAAGTGAACGCGACGAAGTGTCGTGCGACGAAATGTACTAGCGCCGGATCCCCCATATGGTGGATGTTCGTTATTTGTTTTTTTTGGTGGAGTTGATCAGAAGTTGTTGTGTACTCAAAAAGTGAGTACACTCTAGAATCGGTCAGTGTGTCCGGCCGTCCGTCCGTCCGTCCGTCCGGCCGTCCGTCCGTTTACACGATAACTTTTGAAAGGAGAGTCAGATCGCGATGAAATTTTCTACACAGTTTAGTCTTAACAATATCTCGGTCGAGTTCGAAGATGAGAAGGATTGGCCGAACCATTGCTGAGTTATTGCAAAAATAGTCATTTTTCCCTATGAGAAGATAGACCCTTCTCTGTTTTCATAAAAAACTTTTCCTATCATAGTCATATAAAACCCCAACTATTATATACCATTCGATAGAGAATTTCACGAGCTACAAAATGGTATATAAAACATAAAGAAACAAGAAAGCTAACTCGCCTATTGCAAAGATAATTAATCGGAATTCGGTTCTGTTTTTGTCCACGCACTATGTGACCCACAATTAGAGCTCTATCTTCCCATCACAGAGATGATAGTTCGAGGTTTTCTAGAATGGAGAACTCAGATCTATGTTCCATTCGCCTCGAAATCCCATTGGTTGAACGGTAACCAATAGAAATCAAGTTATAGGAAAAACGAGTTTCATAGGGTAAATCAAGGTGAAGAGTTCAAATCTGAGCTCTATTCATCTCTAAATCCTATTGGTTGAGCAGTAGCCAATAGAAATCAAGTGTTTACAGAAAGGGTTTGCCAGGACAATTTTGATGTCCACACATTCTAGGGTGACTCATCTGTCTCATTCACTTTTTGAAGTACACATAACTCTCGGATTTCAATCCGAGGTTTCCACATTTTTTTTTTTATATAGTTGGGATGAAATGTTTTGAAGAGCTGATCGCATTTGGTCGTTTTTTATGAAAAGACTTGGGGTTGCTAAGGAAGTTTTCGATGGTAATATATGGAATAATGATGGTAAATTATGCTCGAGCGCTGATTGGTCGAATGTAAGATCGGTCGTGATTGGTCGTCGTGCTAGCTTCACATCGATAAATCCATACCTATAGTTAGCCATTTGAAGTAAAACTCAGTATTTCCTGAAAAATTTGTCGACAAAATGAGTCTAGTTCAAAATTCTAAAACTTTGAAAAGATTCATAAAATGGTCAGAAATCTTCAGATTTATACGAGTTTCACATTATATGGTTCGTCACCATTGAATTTTGTGATTGAGTCAAAAAATATTTCTCATATTATAGAATGCTGCTCTTGCAAACACACTCATACTCTTACTGTACGTTGTTTTTTCCATCCTTTGACTTTCATTTCGCTAAATTTCGTTTAAAGAATACAACATTTGTTCATTTCCATTTTCGCATATAAGAGAGAAATTGAACAATTCAGAAAACCAGAGTGGTAACACTAACATTTGTCTAGACTAATCAATATGAATATACATATACGAAATACATTTGAACACTGCTCCATTAGTAAATGCATGGAAGATTAGATATTGTTGGATAAATATAGTCATAATAAGAGAAATATTCTATAGATATCGATCGTTGCATAAAGGTGAAACCCATTGGATATACTAGTAATGATTTCGACTTAGAGATACAGGAACAGAAATGGAATAATGAAATTAGGCATAGGTATTTCGGATTGGATGTAGTTGTACGAAGTTAAGTTTAGAAATAAGTAGATAGAGATGGGCATCAGAAGTTTATAACTATATAAACTAACTGATAGTACATTAGACGTTATGTGTAGCTTTGACTACGAAATCTATTTTAAAATGAAGAGCAGCTTTGAGAGTAACTTTTTATATAAATTCTAGGTTTCGTGTCGTATGTATTTTTTCATTACAGAATACGGAATATATCCTAAGACGGAAAGAAAATATAACAATCTAATTGCATTATCAAAGTAGTGCAAATACAATTTGTTTACGCAGATCTCAACAATGAACCAGACGGTTCGTTTACAACAAGAATTATTTATGATTCGCATATCTTACGTTAGATACTACAGATCACAAATAGTATATATATATATATACATACATACATGATCTACTAACATAAAAATCTCTTGTTTCATAGTTTACATATTGCAAACCTACTGTAAACGGGTCCGTGTTGATTAAGTCTGGGTTTTTGTGATCAGAATATTTTACTACCAATATTCATTTGATTTAAATTTTCTCAATTTTACATACAGAATAGCAATGATAAAATTATGATACTTACTGTACTTTTTCGTTTATAAATGTTGTTTATCTTTTTCTTTTTGAATATTATTATTCGTAGTCGACAAATTTATTTTCAAATTTTCACGTGTTTTTATATTCACTCGTTTATTTTGTTTTTGCTCGCATACGCAATAAAAAAAAATATTTTATTCATGAGGTAGCTAATGTCATCATTCTTTCATAAGCAATATTTATCATTATAATTTAAAATGAGGGTTATATGCACTGCATATGTATATATCTGTTTGAAACGTGAATGATGGAGAGATTCGTAAATTACAGATAAGAAATGAAATATACCTTGATGATATTATGATCACATTTTTTTTTCTTGTTCTGTCATAAGTATAGCTTTTTTTTTGTCCTTATCGCACTTTTTATGTACTAATGATGTATGATTAAAAAAAGAGGAATATAAAAATATGCTTAAAGACTAATACACATAAGTTTGCTAAGATCAATTATTTTAATGCAAACTAATAGAATTGACAACTAAACTGTCCGTTGTATAAGAGGAATAGAGTCCGTAACATTGTTTTCTAACCGTCTTAGGCATTGATCAATGCTCGGAACGAACGGTACTAGTCTTTTGGGTGTGGGTTTGGGTGTCGGTGTGGGTGTGGATAATATGGCTTGAGAAAAGATTTTGATACTAGATGTAATTATCTTAAAACATTGACCTTATAGTCGAATATTGACTGTATGTCAGATTCAATCAAGAAAAATTAATTATATATCAAGCTTTCAATTTTATGTCTTGCAAAAAAACAATTCAACATCTTTTTATTTTATTGATATGTAAATATGAAGAATTTACAAAACGAGAATTTTCCAATATAATTAATGTATTATTAAAGCCAGATATGAATTTCATTGGAAGTAACTCGTAATCGAAATGGTTGATTAAATGGATAATGATGTAGTTGTCGTCGAATTAAATGTGGAAAACAAGGTGTATCAGAGTATCTCGAATTGGAAAAGATGATACGTAGCGAAACAAGTTTTTGTAATTGATCAACAAGCAGATAAATAAGAGTAACAATACGTTTTGTAGATTTGTTTTTCCTATTCACAATACAAGATGGTTTCCATCGCCATTGATCATATCCATCACAAATAGAAAATGAAAGTTTCTTCAAGTTAAATAATCGATTCGACAATAATGTACAAATTCGTTGAGCATTTTGCAATGTCAATGATATATCGAAGATCTCAAATGATTTTATCTAATTAATAGAAAATATAATCTATCTCAAGAAAATAAAAATATTCTTTTAATTATTTAATAAATTTAAATCGTTTTCTTTCCACATTAAATTTTAGGAAAAGATTTTCTTCAAAGAAAATTTGAACTATTAGTTCAAAAATTTAAAAAAAAATCATTTTATTGAGATTTTTCTCTTAAAATAGAAATAGAAATCATTACTTGTTGATTGATAAGAGTTGTGAGATTATAATTATTTAATATTGGACGAAGTAAAATTCCTCCATCATCAAACAAATCTAGTGTGTGTACATTATAAGCCATTCGTAATATTGATTCTAATGTGGCCCGAGTAAGAACATTACTATGATTGATTGAAATATTTGTTATAGATGACCATGGAACTAATGATGATATAGAACTTCTACAGTTACTGAATTCTCGAACAGAAATGTTCCTTTTATAACCACGTAGAGATAATGTATCAGCGCGTGGAAATAGATTTAATGGATTAATCGGCATTTGACAAGACCTATATAAGAAAAAAAAAGATTTCTATTCATCGTTTATATAAATATATTCTAGATACTTTTCAAGATTTGTAGAGAATATGTATGATGAAAGAATTGTGTTATTATATGGTAAAGTATATATCCTAAAAGAATGATATATAGAATCGACAACTCGATCATCAAGTTCTTGAATGAACACTCTCGGTAACTGTCGATGAATAAATGGAACTTTAAAAAATGAACTGAAAATTATTTTTTCTTCAAAATCATCCAGAACATATAATGATAGATTAAGAATATAAGTTGCCGTTAGTTGGAGACGATCAATACACAATTGTTGAATAATTGTCACCTGATATAATCAATGGATCAGATATTGATGTAAATGCTTCTAATTTTAATGACAAATGACAAAGTTGACCGAAGACAGATGATAAAAGTGCAATAATTCGATGAAAACTTATGCTATTCATACAATTAATACGTAGACGAGATAGATATCGAAGATGATGAGTATCAATACTGGTAGGCAATCTAAATAAAATTCATGTAATTAATAATTTTACCAATGATAGTTGTCAGTTACAAGATTGTATCATGTGTATCATGCTCATCACTATCTCGATCTTTTATACTGAAAGAAAAATTCTCAATGAATGGTATACATAATAGTAAACGCTCGAGAAAATGTGACGTATGTATACCAATAGTTAATGTACGAAGATGATTTGTATTTAATAAATTCGGTAAAGTTATTTGATATTCTAATGAACCATTTTCTATTTGATTAACATTCTTATAAATATGATCAAAAGAAAGTCGACAAATTTTTAGAAGAGGCATTCTTGAAAACACCTATTAATAAATTAAAAGCAATTAGAATTAATATATCGTTATATCAATACGTTTTTATTAATAGAAAAAAAAAGATCAGAATTCCATAGTGAATCGAAGTAGTAGTTCTTTTCTTACCTTAGCTAAATAAACTCCTTCAACTTGAAGAAATTTAAACGAACTAGATGGTGTCACATCAACTAATAAAGTATGTGTCTTATTACGTGATTACGCAATAATTTATCAAATTCATGTGGTTCAATGCCAATCAGATGTAAATGTTGAAGTAATGATATCTGATGATACTGAAGATAAGATGAAACGAGTGACCATCCATCAATAATATCAATTAATGTTAGACGTAATGAGACAACCCGATTACCTATTAATTTTAAGATATTTTCACATTGATCATTAAACATCAATAATGACATTGTTGTATCACCAATATGAATGTTTCATAAATATTCATTTAATATGATTCTCGATAAACGTTTAGTCAATAAAAACAATGATTGAAGAATATCAACTGGAGACAAATAAGCAAAAATTTCATAAAGAATATCGTTAGGTAAAATTTCGAATGAATTAACGCTCATGTTTTTCTTTTATTTCTGTTGTATATTCATACAGTCTTTATATACTGACATACACAATGGTATACTTCCGTCTATTTTGTTTGACGGATCATTTTTTTTCTCATTTCTCTCTTTCTTTCGAAATAGATTAATTTAAACAAAAAAGAAATAAAAAAAAAACTATTGACATCCATATTATTCAATGGATGCTAATATAAAGTAGGTTTTTTTTTGTTTTAGCTATAAATATATTCATTTAAAATAAAACAATTTAATGTTATTGTTTAAACTTAATTTAAACCAATAAAGAATAGATGCTTTTTGAGAATTTTATTCTCTCGAGCTGTAAATCAAGAAAACTCAGAAAAGAGACCATTTTGTTCGAGCTACCGTTTCCTACTGATGTTTAAACTTTATTTGAGTTAGACCATTATTTATCAGTGGAAATTGAAAAAATGTCATTCCTATCAATCAGCTGATCTAATTCGGAAATAACATGAAAAGAAACCATGATAGTATGAATGAGAGTGAAGTTATGAATGCTCTCTTTCTTTTTAATCACACTAAAAACCACATCGATATCCACAATCGGAGTTTCCGATCAGGAGATGGAGAAGGCTGTCCGCTCAAAATGTATAATTGTCTGCAAAAAGTTTTAAATACTGTTTACCAAAAACATTTAATATTTTCTATCAATTTTTTACAGCTGCTGGGTGAATAGGTCTGTGGCAGAATGCTTGGACGAGGGGAGTGGCAAAGATATGGTCTGATGGAAGTTAGAGGGTTGTTGAAGAGATCGATTCATAGTCGGTGTTGTTTCTTGCAAGTAATAAGTAACATAGACAATAAAAATTCTTACCAATCACCGAGTAAAAATAATCAAAACTAATGATAGCGTAGCAGTCTTATTCAATACACTTATGCTTAACAAAATCAGGTATTTATTAAGTACTCGAAGTACTTTTACATTTTATACTTTTGAAAACTTTCTTTCTACATTCTAGCTTCTCATTGATAAATTTCTCGTAGTGATGAAATTCATCATGGTTCAGGTCGATCTGTTTTAATTAGTAGATCGATGAAAGCATTACTTATTCGATTGATGGCGACAAAAAAATTTTGGCTCCAGTAAAACGTAATAATTATTATGGAAAGCGACTTATGTTAGATTCTTCGAACGATTATTCAGCTTGTATGAGATTTTAAGGATCGATTAAATTTATTTCCTTAGAAATTTTTAATCGATCATTCGAACTATTTTATCATTATTTCGTCTTATAGAATGTTCCCTAGTCGAACTTTTTTTAGGAAGCGCATGACATTCTTGAGTTTCTTGAGCCTGAATGTCATGCGCTATGGACACATCTTGAGTCAAGACTTGAGACCATTAGGAAAAACTAAAGCGCTTGATATTCTTGCTCATGCGCTTGAACGTCTGTGCAAGCATATGTTACGTGCTTAAATGTTAAAGAAATATTTTCAGTGTTTTTTTTCAGTTCTACGTTCAAAATGACTGAAGTTTTAATAAAAACTCGCACTAGTAATTTTTTTAGTTCAGCGCATGACTTTTTCAACCATGCGCATGACTCATGCGATCACTCAAATGCTTGTCTTGACCAAGAAAGTCATGCGCTATGGACACATCTTGAGCTCAAGTCTTGTCAAGCGCTTGAATAAAAAAGTTCGACTAGGGTTTCTATTTAGCAGCTAAAAACAGATTTTCGACAAAACAAGTTCAAATCGGATGAAATATTAATCATTTGTTAGCGATCGTTCAATAGAGAGAAGTAAATTGTGCCAAAATTGTTCAGGTCAATATAATGTTTCTAGGATAGATTATTAAAATAATAAATAATTTTCGCTGTCAATCTTTATATATAATAAGATAATCAATATAGATTCATCTAGAAATCGATTTATATAATAAATAACGAATTTTTGACTAAATGCAAGGAGATAGTTAACTATTTAAATTAGCTTTGAAAAAACAACAGTAAAGATTTAATATAAAAGTTTGGTTTTTTTAATTCTACGAATATGAAAACTATTCTTTAAATCTATTTAAATAATATAAAACGTTTGGTTAAATTTGAAAAATTCTTTTTAACAACTTGAATACTCTTCAAAACAAATGATATTTTATTTCTAAATAAAGATTTTTTTTTAATGAAAAACAATAATATATTATTATTATCTTAACTCGACAATAATAACATAAAATAATTTCATTATAAAACTATAGAAAAATTTTTAATAAAAAAAACACTAGCAAAGGGTTAACTCAATTAAATTAAAATAAATACATTGAATAAAATCTTATTTCTATCAATATTAGTCTAATCATTGAAATGATTTATTATATTAATATAAGATTTCATTTATTTATTTAAGAGTTTGATTTATTTCAATAAATATCTTCCGTTCATATAATATATGTTAAATCGATCGAGTTATTTCGATTTCTATTGAAAATAATTCTTTGAATATATTATATCTTTCGAATATAATTTATCAGTGGTTTTTTCCCCTCATTTCAATATTAAAAAACTATTTTATTAAATCGAAATAAACCAAACATAAATAAAGATAATAAATGAGAATTATTTTTTATTTTTAAATAGAATATATCAATTCTATATATTATTTTATTTTTGAATCTCTAATATAAATAAATCTATTAATATTATAATATAACCATATTCAATAGAATTACAATTATAATAACAAAAACAAGACAAACATCTTATTATATAAATCGATTATTTAAAATATTAATTAAAATAAATATATATATATTGAAAAAAAATTTACATAGAATAAGTTGTTATTTTTTTATTTAAATTAAAAAATGAAAATCTCATCCAAGGATACGCTGCAAGACTTGATCGTTTTGATCGATTATCATCAGATAAATAATTCTCATTTATTAATCACTAAATAAAAGAATTCTTTCTATTAAATAATGTCATGGGCACTCTTTTTTATTCAATATAATAATTATATAATGAAACGACGAAAAAGAATAGAGAACCCTTCAATAATCAATTCATTACCAAATATTCGAATATAATATAAACAAATCATTTTCTAATAGAGATATTTTATTTCTAACAGTTAACTATTTATCGAGATAAACTTAGACTTATTTTAAACAATTAACCATTTACATTGAAATAAAACCTTCTATTTTACATCGAATTATCTTTTAGTTTCATTGAGAAATTTATTTTCTATTGAAATATTCTAATAAGATATAATATATGTGAAATCTCGTTTCGGTCTTCAAAGATAAGACAACTGTCAATCTTATTCTATAGTCAACATTTTATCTCGGAAATAAAATAAAATCAGTTTACCGGATAAATTATATAGGATAAAATTCCACAATGATGATGTCTATTTATCGTCTAGAGATATCTAACATCTATTTAAACTACTCGAAACGAATCATCAAATCACCTTGGTCAACATATATAACAATTGAGAATATTTTCAAATTATTCTCTAAAATCTCGATTAGGATAGAACTAATCTTTAGATGTTATGATCAAATCAAATGTTTAGAGATTAATGATAATAGGGAGGATCGAAAAAGTGCTTACCTTATATGGTAACGATACCCGCAGGAAAGAAAATAGTCTTATGTTTTTTCTCTCTTCCATAAAATATATCTTATGTGTTTTTTTTTCATGCTAATAGAGTTCGAATATTGAGGTTAAATTTAATTATAGAAGAGAGAAGAAAAAAATGACGAGAGATAGAATAGATCAATTAGATATTATTTATTTAGATATTAATATTAAATGAAATTTTAAATAAAATCAATATAACGTTAGAAAAAAAACTTGTGTTCGATCTTTGTTACCTAAAACAAGTTCAGCTCTAGTTCAGAACTGATGAACTGTTCAAAACGCTCGCTATCACAAACTGAACTATTTGATCAGTTCTTTTCAATGAACTGAACCTTCTCAAATATTGTAGCTCTATAAGCTGATCATCATGAAAAGTTACACATACCATCCTCAGGATTCCTTACGAGCATCACAGGCTGGATATCTATGACTCCTTAAGTGTCCTACGGGGATACTCATAGATCCACAAGTTCTATTATATAGGGGTATCAATAGTTCCTCAAGTCCTATTAAATAAGGGTACCAATATGTCCTTAAGGACTATCCTATGTATATCCCTGTATAATAGATCTTCAGGGCCTATGGATACACCCATATTATAATATCTAGTCTAACTTTAAGTTCAGTTCATTTGAATGGAGTTTGTGAACGTGAGCCGGTCGACTCCTATTTCTTACTGCTCTCAAGAATGATCTTTTTTTAGACCGTTTGATCAAAATTAATCTGTTGTCAATTATTTTTCAGTTTTTGAAGTACATATAACACTCGGATTTAAATCCAAGATTTCCACATTTATTTAAAAATTCTTTCATTTCTCATAGATATTTCAAAGATGTTTTATGAATAAATAGAAAAATAGAAATTGATCATTGAGAACATAAAACACTATTGTATTGTATATTATTATTATTCGAGTATATTAAATATGATGATCACTATCTTATCTTAAAACACAGAATTTTCTTTAGTTATTGAAATCTTGTTTCAATAAAAAAATGCACAGAAAATTTTTAATGATTTTGGTTTAAACTTGAAGATTAAATAGAAGCATCTGTTATAGAGGTCGATAAATCTCATGATATTATGAAAAATATACTATAAGTATATCAAAACAGAAAAAAAACTGTTATTTTCTAACTTAACCTTCCATTTAACTGAGAAATATGTGTTCTCTGGATAATAACAGAATGAATATGTGAGTCAAAATAATTATTATTTTTCAAT